TTACAGTACATGGTATTTAAAATTAAATTTATTTGTTGCATGAGGCAGTTTAATCCCCTTCTCTAAATCTTCTTTAAATAGATTTCTAAGTAACTGGATATATTTTGAAAGTTCAGTAGATTTTTTTACATGCAACTCTGTTCCTCTGTTTCAGGTGAATACTGCTATTTGGTTTTCATATTTTCACAAGACAATTCTTTTTGCTTGGAAATTGTTGCTGKACAGGAGAAATAAAAACCTCTGTCTCAGGTTATAGTTGTGGTATAACTTGAGAGAAGGATGAATTCTTTTCCTTTTTTTCTTCTCTCTTGTCCTGCGTAAAGGTATTAATAGCTGGAAAGAAATTGCTCCAAGGTTTTCAAGAAAAGACAGTTACATTTTTTACTCTTTTAGTGAATGAATGTTGGTTTTGGGGTAAAAATTTAAAATACTGTGTCTTTAATAATAGGAGAGTGAGGAAGACAGGGAAGGACTTGCAGGGAGTCATTGCTTAATAGGTGATTCCATGACAACTGCCCCTGCAGAAGGCTCTAAGGAGGAAATCTATGCCAACGCTTGGATTTTGAATCTCTAAAAGACAAGTGAAATTGTGTGCTTAAGTGAAGGAAAATAACACTTTGTATTGGGAAGAAGTTTTCACAAATTGAGATAACTTTCTTTAAAAATGAACATAAGCAGTAGAACACAATACTTACCATTGCATGTTATTTTATGAGATTCAAAACTCAAATACCACTTTGTGAAGAACTTAAACAAAAGAATAAACAATCTGCCCCCAATAACAAGACTACATAGGACCCTGTTTTGTTTAATGAGATTGTTCAGTAAACATTGTATATTGTAACATTTTCATTACAAATACATTTTATTTTGTTCCTGTGCAACTCTCTCCTGCTTAGACACTGCTAGATAGGTGATTGTTACAATGCTTTGTCCTGTCACTAAGGAATGTTAATGGCAGTTGAGAACAACTAATAGAGAAGAAGGAATTAGCTTTTTCAAGCCTAGAGTTCMTAGGTTTTACTTGTTCAGTTCCCTGCAATGTTCTGTCACAGGGTTCTTAGATTATTTTTAAATATGCTAGTGTGATTTCTCTTACACTCTCCTCTCTTTTGAGGAATCATTTCAATTGAATAATTTGTAGCTCAGATAAAGGCTCTGTTCTGCACATTTAGAATGCGTATTCAGTCTTCATATCTTCAAAAATTTGATTATGCTTTTGATGGCTTTCTTTGGCAGGGCTACAATAGAGGAGACATATTCCAGGTCAATGACAAAACTAGCCAAATCAGCAAGCAATTACACACAACTTGGGTAAGTAAGCATACGTAAGAGACAAGTAAGTGATTGTATACATGCTAAGAATCAAGTTTCATTCTGAAAATTTTAWTGATGATGTTGAAAGTTAGCATAAGTTTGCCAGCTTTAAAAATGGTTGTCCAGTCTTTAGTAATCATGCAAAAATTCATGCAGCAGCTATGGCAAAGAGAAAAATAGCACAGTTCTTTAAAACTGAATAAAAATACCAAAGCCCAAACACARAAAAACTATCTGTTCCTTGTGTTTAAAGCTGAGTTCTTTTCAGACATAGTGACTACTGTTATATACCCTCAAGTCTAAGGAAATTATTTTGAGAATATATGACTTGAAAATGTGACAGTGAATTTATTTGTTTCTATTATTTCTGGGTTTTGGAGTGTTGTCTGTTCTCCTGGATGTTCAGAATGAGGCTTTTCTGTAGAAAAGAGGCTTTAGAGGCTGTAGAGGTTTTTCCATATTTAAATGAAAGTTTTATACACAGGGTATGTGTTTGAAAACTAGAATGATTAATGGATGTTTTTTCATTAGAAAGATTAGGCCAATTAGAATTCAGAATTCTTAGATGAAGCTAGATTTATTTTTTTAATTTGTAGTAGTGTAGTCTAGAAATGTGGGATCTTTCATCAGTGGATAATTTGGTAATAGCTGTTGCTGCTTTTTAAACTGAAAAGCTGCTACAGAACCTTTGAGCATCAGATTTTTTAAGCCTATGGTTCTATTGATTTTTTAGCAGTGTTAATCAGGAAATCAAGGCAGAAGTGCATTTTTGGAATCCATAGATAAAGTCCATTCAGTTCAGAAATCCGAATCTGAGGAATGATCCCACCTCTTTGTTAATCTTGGTTAATCAGTAAATCCCTTTTAGYAGTAGACAATCTTCGCCAATATTTTTTTCTCCATCTTGTGGCTGCAATGATGTAAGACAACTAGAAACTTAACTGACCAAGACATTCCTGATTTGTTTATACTGTCCAAGTATATGCATAGTAATACTTGCTAACTGTTAAATTATTTTAAGCTGTTCCTGTACCATCTCGTTATTGTGTGCTGATGATAGCATTAAATGAACTTTGTTGTGTTTTACTTTATTAGAGTCAAGACAAGTCAAAACACAAACCATGGAAAAATTAGTAGATAGGATGCCAAGTACATTTGGAACTTATTTAATAAAAATTTATGGCACTTGAGTATTTTATTTGCTTGATTTTTAGGAAGAGAAGTGAACTGAAAACTTACTGATTATTCTTTAGCACTATTAAAAAAAAAGCTGCCATCTGAAAGAAAAAAATCCAGATTAACATAAAGTATTATTTTCCTCTGTCTAGAACATTTGCACCAGTTTGGGATGTTTTCAAAACCTCAACAGAAAAACTAGCAAGTTGTCACTTGGATCTTGTGCGGAGATTACAAGAACTAATAAAAGAGGTTCACAAGTATGGAGATGAACAGATCAAAGCTTATAAAAAGGTTATTCATTTCATTTTAATGTATGTCCAGTGACTTGTTAATGGTAAAATGAAAATGGTTTGGTTTTGACAACCATGTGATATTTGGCAGACTAAAGAAGACGTTTCAGGAACTTTGGAAGCAGTGCAAAGTATTCAAAGTATCACTCAAGCCTTGCAAAAATCAAAAGAAAACTACAATGCAAAGTGTATGGAACAAGAACGCTTGAAGAAGGAAGGAGCAACACAGAGAGAAATTGAAAAGGTAGCTCTGCGACATTACTTTAACTGTGTTACTGATTGTCTTACATGTTCACCTTGTATTAATAAGTGGAATGCTCAGAAATGGTAAACGTAGTTCAAAGTAGTAGTGTACTGTTTTATMATGTGCATGATCTTGTGATCTTAGTTTTGTTTACACTTCCTTATCTGTTCTAAATGTATTGTAGTTCTAATTCTTCACTTTGAAAATACCTGCATCAAATGGYATTTTTGTGTCTCTGAGAGAAATTGTGCTCAATTGTCTTAATAGCTCTTGTGTTTTTTACATTTGCTTATGTAAATACTCAATGTCCTTTTTGCTGAACTCAGAAGTAATTGTGGTATCCCTGCAATGAGATRAAGTAGATAAGTACATGAGTATTTGAAGTCTGTTTGATAAAGAAAAACCTGTTATTAATGCTTTCACTGCTGTTTTAAAAGGTTCCAATATCAAGGGATAAGACTCTTGAGTTGTATTTAGTGCTGTCCTTGGCTTTAGGGCGGGTGTTGATCCATTCACAGAATCAGTGAATGTCTGAGGTTSACAGGGACCTCTGGAAGTTATTCTGTCTATTCCCCATGCTCTGTCTACTCCCCATGCAGGGCTGCCTCAAGCCAGTTACTCAAGACCTTGTCTAGACAGCYTTTTACTATCTTCAGGGATGGAGATTTCATTTTCTCTCTGGACAACTTGTGCCAGGGCTCAATCACCTTCACAGAAAATTATGTTTCCTGAGGTTCGGAGGGAACCTTTTGTTTTCTGTTAGTGCCTAGTGTCTCTGGTTCTGTCACTGGTCACCACTGGAAAGAGCCTGACTTTGTCTTCTGGGTACCCTCCTTTCAGGTATTAATATCTCTTGGTAAGATTATCTTTAAGGGTTCCCTTCTCCAGGCTGAACAGTTCCAGCAGTCTCAGTCTTTTCTCATGGGAGAGATGCTTTAGTCCCTTAATCACCTTCATGGGCGTCTACTGGACGCTCTCCAGTRTGTCCATGTCTCTTRCAATGAACAACCTGGGACTAGTTACTACGCCATATATGCTGCGTAGAGGGGCAGGATCCCTGTCATTGACCTGCAGGGAAAAATGTAACTTYTCCTGTTTTCAGGAGTATAACTTCTAGAGGAAAGTGGTCACATTTCTAACTAAAACTTCTCGTTTTAAATTTTGATTTCACTGGTTATTTTCATTTCATTTAACTGATCTGTGTAGGACTTTGTTCTTGGTAGAACCRTCTTTATGCTTTTTGTCCTGCTATCTTGATGGAGCAGATAGAGTTGGCTATTGTCATTTCACTGATGACAAATGTGATTCTGTTGTCTGTGTTTCAATTGTTTCATCTTGACATAAATCTAGCTTCTTTTCCCCAGCTTCCATCTCAAATGACAGTTGATGCTGGATTCTAGACATGAATCAGAAATATGTGTTGGCAGATGTTTTCTTGCCACTATATTCAAAGTATAATTTTTCTGAATTCTTGTAAACATTATTTCCAYAGGAAAAGTTGACTTGAGGGAAGGCTTCTAAAGATGTAGCATTAGCCTTGTTCATTTGGAAACAAAAAATGTTCAGCATGACAGATACCTACATGAGAAGGGAGGAAGAGGAAGCACTATAGGAGGAGGGTCATTTTTTTACATCTTTAAATATTTTTTGCATGTTTTATGCATTTTCCTTGGATACAATTAGGTCATAGCTGAATGCTCTGCAAGTACTTCATAAATGTTTCCAGTGGGAGTAGGTAACTRTCACTGTCACATCTCTTCAGTCATGCCTCTGTTCAAATTTACACTTGCAGTTTCATAAACAGACTGACTAAAGATTGTATTAATTTATTTTTCCATTGGTAGAGAAAAGATTTGTTACTTTCAGTGCAACATGAAAACTGTTTACTATCAAAGTCACCAAAGAACTGCTTTATCAGGAAACAAGGGATCTACACCAGTATACAAAGGTTTATCACAAAGCCAGATGTTTGGAGAGATACTTTCTCTGAGGTGTCTGAGACCTTGCAATTTTCATTGCAGCTGAAAGTAACTAGCTTGTGTAATGATTTCCGGTTGTTCTCTGACACATGAACTTCTCTATTTATAGTGACTTAACAAAATATACTGGACTGCTCCTTATTCTTTCACACACTGTAAATCTGGTAAAAATGGTTCTAGCAATTGCTGCACCTGAGAATAGTAACATCCTGTTTTAAGAAGAGGTTGCTAGTTAAGCATACAGTGTCTATGTGTTTTATAATTGTTGTCTGTCCTGCTGATTAGTTAGTTTTAAATTGCATGCCAACATCTAATACTGGGATTCTCATCGTTATAAGAGATGGAAGATGTTGTTTGAGTTTTTTTTTTGTCAAAATCCCTTGCACATGGTTTACAAAAAAAAATGGTTTTTTACATCTTTTAACATTTCCTTTCTTTTCAGTGATTAAATTTGCTGTAATTTTATTGCACAACAGTCTTAATTTTAGAAGTAAGATATCATGGAGCATGTTGTATTTTCAGCATAGGAAATAGCAGTTGGGAAACAAGGACTGTGTGCTTCTGGGTGATTCCCCAGTGTAAATGTGTAAGAGTGAGAATCACAAAGTAAAATTCAGGATAATGAATTGATGGGATTGATACAGCTTTTCTGAATGATCCATATTCTTATTACATGAAATATTTTCAGTTTTGTTTTGTTGTGCTGGGTTTAGAAGACTATGTGGCTAAGATCTGCTAAAGCTTTCTTTGTAACTGGTAAAACAGAATCGTAGCTTTGGTTCCTATTCCTTTGAAGTGCTTCATGTTCCTCATGATTATCTGTTGTTATAAATTATATAATGCTATAAACTTTGAAAAAACTTTTTCTTTACAGTCAGTCACTTCATTCAGTTTTGAGATTTTCCTGTATTTTGTTTTGTGTTTTGCTTAACTTTCAGAAAGAACATTTTGGTTTATTAGCAACAAATAATGGAAAAATAGTATAAATCCCTAAAGGATTTTTATAAATAACACTGACCTATGTAAATCTGACCATCACTATGTTCTGCAATAACTTCACTTCCAAATAGCTATTAATCCATTGATGTAACTCATGTGTTTTGGGTATCTTCATTTCTGAGATAACATCACCATCTTGTTTGCTCTGTATTCCAGCGCTGCTTTTTTCCCTTTTTTTTTTTTTTTTTTTTTTTTTTTTTTTTTTTTTTTTTTTTTTTTTTGCAAATATGATTCTTTTGTTCACATTTGACAAGGACTGATGACTTGTCTTCTGCAATAAAAATTTAATTTCAAAATAAGTATATTGTAAAATTTGTCATTGTTGGTAAGGGGAAGGGATTTAACTGAGTTACCTGCTTTGTTACATTTTTATGTGATTTATGTATAGTAAAATCTCTAATTGCTTGAATCCGAGATATWTGCTGTTGAAATTTTTCTTATGACACTTCCCTGTGTTGGTTTTGGTGTGCCCCTGGATCATTTTTCACGATCATCCCAAATTTCTACTAGTAAATTTAAAAAACTGTATGTGTGACWTTTGACACATTTTTTATTGATCTACAGGCAGCAGTCAAATCTAAAAAAGCAACAGATACCTATAAACTGTATGTGGAGAAGTATGCTGCATTTAAATCTGATTTTGAACTGAAAATGACAGAAACGGCACAGGTAAGGGTTGCATTAAATGAGTTACCTTTGAAAAAGGTCAATGTATTCTATTTCATTTTTGGAGCCATCTGGAATCAAAGATTTCAAAAAWCAGGTCCCTTCAGAAACTGATTTGTTTGAAAGGCAAACGCTGATGTATATGTTTCGATAGCATTGTCTTTGAATGACACAGTGGAATGCTGGCACTCTGGAAGATGCTTTGAAAACATTTTGGGAAGAGACCAAAATGAACGTCTGGAAGTCTTGTATATGCATTATGATTATTTGAAAAATCCTCTCAATTGCTGGGCACCCAGAACTCATTCATAGGAGTTWTAATATTGGGACCCATTATGGCTTTCCACTATTATTCTATCAAAACACTTAAATTACAGCTTGCTAAAGTGTCTTCCCTGCATTTACCTGAGGTTGTGAAAAGCCATTACATCTGTTTAAGATTCTGGGGATTTTTAAAAGATTGTGTTCAGGTTCTCTGTATCATTGCGTATGCCACCTTTTGGCTACATTTTAAACCACATTTGTCTAAATATCCTTAGTGCCTTAAATGTAGCAATCTTTTTACTTAAGGTTTAAATTTTCACTTAATGTTACAATGGACACCTCTAAACTTTCCACATCTTCCCATACTGGAAATGAACTGTCATTCTGCCAATTTAAGATGTATGTGTGGAATTAATTTTAAGTATAATAGTGTAGCTCCATTCACAGTTTGGTTGCAAAACAGCTACTTAAAATATGATATGACAGGAAAGATAACATCCATGAATATATGGAAACCCATTTCTATGTGAAGCAGACCCAGTATTATCTTAATTCAGAGTACATATCACTTGAAAATAGTGCTGATTGGTTCTGAAAATAAAACCAGTGAAGGTGTGAATATTTTCATTTCTTTCAGTGCAAAATCAGTTGGCTTAGCTTAAGTCTGTCTTATAATGCCTAGTAAAAGACATAACGTAATAGGATAGGCTACAGAGCATGACCATGTAATTAAGAGGAAGACTGCTGGAGAAAAGCTAATTTTAACCTTCCCTGAGAGGTATATCAGTAAGTATGGCAGAAGATTGAGGGTCTAAGAACTAGAGATATTTGTTTTGTCTGTGTCGAATTGTATTTGTGAATCAGAGCAGCAGGTGTGAGATGGGGATCTTCACAGAACCTTGTGCAAATTGGAGAGAGGATTAAGTGGAGCACTTATCCTAAGTTTGGATACACTTGAAAGGGCAGTTACAGAAATAGGCAGAGAACTAGGAAAGAACAGAAATAAACAAAGATTTCAAGATTTCAGCTGTTATGGTTGGCTGTTGGGGAGGATGAGAACATTTTCAGTTTTGATTTTTGGCCAGGAAGGGGCCATTGAAAACTTAAAAAGTGATTTTAAAATGGCTGTCAGGGTAAAATTGAACAAATTGCGAAAATTATGTATGATGAGTTTAAAGATCAAGCAAATGAATTGTATTTAAAGGAGCAAAGAATTTAACTAGATTTAACTAGAGAAAGCATGTGTACATTTACAAGGAGGAGAGTGTTCTTAAAAGGAAGTGCAACACAGATCCAGAAATAAGATTTTTTGGTTTAGATGAAAAAACTATACTCTTGAGTAATGGAAAACAGAGGGCTTACTTGAACACCCCCTGAGCATATTTTCTTTTGGTACAAATAGGCGAAACTTTTTTGAAGGGCTAGGTGGAAGTTCAAAAATTGAGTTTAAAAAGCTCAGTAATGGTTCTAGAAGATATATTTCTCTCTAAAGTGCATTCTTTCATAACTGAATTCTGCTCCTTACTTCCTTAAACATTGCAATTATTATTATAAGATATGGAGGGGAAAAATTACTTCTTGGCTTTTTTTTTTTTAATTTTAGTGTGTTTCATTATTAAAATATAAGATTTGGTGTTTTAAGAAATATTTTCATGTTGATGGATTGCTTATATTTGTTTACAGAAATTTCAAGACATAGAAGAAATGCACCTTCTTCGTATGAAGGAGATTATACAGTCATTGTCAAATACCATAAAAGAAATTCATTTACAAATAGGAGAGGTATTTTGTTATACTATATTTTTTTTGTTTAGATTATGCTTTATGTTTTTCTTAACTATTAAATGGAATATTTCTTACTATGTTTGTGCTAATTACATCTTTCAAATAATGAAAATTGAAAATAAGCTCAAATTTTCATGGCTTTCTGTTGCATTTATAAGTTCAGTGTCACAGAATTTACRCAACAAGTGTAAATAAATTTTGTCTCAAATAAATATATTAAAACAATTTGAAGAATTTTTAATGTATTTCTAAGTTCTGCTCCCTGGATATTAATTTAGCACTCATTTCACACCTAACTGGGGTATTGCTTCTTTAATTAGAACTAGAAAGTATATCACTCTGAAAAGTTTCATGAGTATTTTATACTCTTTGACTTCATGAGCAAAAGGTCTTTTAGTAGCAGAAGCTTTTACACTGTCCTTTGTTGAGATGTAAGTTGGTTTAATTAATAATCTTAATAAGCAGTCCTTAATTTTTCGATTTTTGTAGTGTCACTTTATTTGTGTACACTTCAGTATTGAGGTTTTCTCCTAATGAGTGATCATCACAAGGGTTATGCTATTTATTTCTAAAGCATATACACATTCTGCTTTGTTGGAAAAACGTATTAACAACATATTGTTCCTCTGTTAGACCAAAAATGTYACAGCAGTAATGCTTTTACTCAACCAGGTGGGAGTTGTGATAATACACTAGTAACAGTTCACACCCTAAACTGGTACTGGCTTAAAAAACTGCTTGTCTTCCTGACATTACAGTGGGACATGTTGCTGACAAATTCAGAAAATGATATATGCACAAGTTGTTTAGATGGAAGAAATAGAAGTAAAACCTAGGCCTGTTATTTAATTTTTTGTCTGTATTATACCCACATTTGCTACTACTATTGCAAAGAGAGGGGATTTCTTGCATAAAATATCTGTTGATTTCTCTAAATCTTGTAGGGAAGTATTTTGAACCTTAACTATAGCAAAAACTTCTTTTTAAAGTTAATTGCATTCTTTCTTTTTGAAGGTGCATGAAGAGTTTATTAATAACATGACAAATACTACAGTTGAGAGTTTAATACAGAAATTTGCTGAGTCAAAAGGAACTGGCAAGGAAAGACCTGGTAAGAGATTAAAACTTACAGAATAGGAAATGTTAGCTTTAAAATTGGAAATTTCTATTCAAATGGATTTCTATTCCAAACCCATATTTGTTAGTGTGTTGCATTTTTAATGTACTTGCAGGTTCAAGTTCGTAATATTCATTAACTTTGATATTAAATGATTCACAGAAATTGATAACACAGAATTCTTTATGTGCATGTAATATTTGTATTCATACAGCTTGGTGATTTGTAGGTCTGTACTACCAAACTGTAGTGTTTCCTGGAGTGTCAGGGAAATTGATCAAGAAGCTGTAGTTTCTTGTACAAATTATGTGTTGTCTGCTGTGTTCCTTGTACAAACTATGTGACTGTGCATAAATTATGTYTCAAAACTTCATTACATATAAATTTAACATATTCAGAGTATATGTCTATAAAGTTGCTTATTGAACTGTTGGAACAGTTCATCAGTTTGTTCAGTTTAACGAATTGCCATTTTAATTCATATGCAATATATTTTTTATAAAATATATTTTAATATATTAAGAATATAATAAGAAACATATTAATATACTTTAATAAGAAACAAATTGAGTAGTACTTCATGAAGGTACTGCTGGTTGGGTGCTACTGGGTGAGAGGCTGGACATGACCCTGCCCTGAGCACTCACAGCCCAAAAAGCCGAACGTGTCCTGGACTGGCATGAAAAGGCATTCTCACAATAGTGCCTATATAGTGTCACTTTAATATTAGCATGAATATACAGTCACTAGGTGTGTGAATACAGGAATTAGTAGTACTGTTTCCTTCAGCACGGGAATCCTTGCTAGCRTCTTTGTCTTCTAGTAGAGGCACACAAAGACAATTTTTCCTGAACAGGAATGTACATACCAGAGTAGATAATGCAMATTTATAATAAATTGTTAAATACGATTGTTAGGTATTTTGCAATGTGTCTGTGAGGTGTTTTTAACATACCATTGTTTCATATTCTTTCTGTGATCCTCTAATGCTGATACCCAAGTGGGCTGAGGTAAGATTACATATGGAACAATTTTTGCACGTTTCCTGTGTATTTTTCAATTTTTCCATAAAGATTAAAAAAGGATATGTGTGAGCTTCAAAGTTTCAGGTTCAATTGGTCTGAAATAGGATGAAGACACGTGACACCTCTTTGATTAGCTACTACCAAGATGTAATAGCTAGGGATCTCCATCTTGCATTAAAGAATCCTACTGCCTGGGTTACAAAGGCCTTTGCTGAAGTGTCCTAGAGCATTATCATGAATTGTCATGTCAGTTGAGCACTTCAAGTCATCCGTGCTGTTTGTGTGGGTTTTTTCTATGCAACACAGTCATTTTAAGAAAAGTAATACTTCACTTCRTCATTTCATTTAATTTAACTTAGATTTTTGTATTTACTTGCTGCTTTACAGTTCTTCAGATACCATCTGTCCTTTCTAGGGTCAGCTTCTTCAAATGTATTCTAAGAAAGTTAAGCAAAGTATTTTAAGGAAGGAAGTACACCTTGAATTTTCTTTTACAGTGTTAAATTATTATATTGGTTTCAACTTTGTAAAGCAATCATTGTGTAGGGAGAAAGCATAGCCAAATTCAGCAACAAAAGAGTACAWATTCACAACAAGTTTTGAAATGTTAAAGACTAGCAACACAGACCACTAATGATGTTAATTACGGTTACTGCATCTAACATATTCATTTGATTAACTTAGTATCATAAAACTTTGACAATTAAACAAATTTGAAAGRCAAAGTGAGATGTCAGCCTTCTAAGAATGAAAAGGAAACATCCACTGTTAAGGACTGCTGTTTCTTGATTAAACCCCATTTTTTTTTTGCATCTGAGAACTTTTCATGATAAAAACGTATTTTAATTCATGGAGCAAATGCTGGAAGTCTATGGGATGTATTTATTAATTAGGCTGAAGGAGATGGCTCCTCAGGAAAATTTAGGTATTGAATGTAAAAAGTGATACTGACTTCATGGACAAAACAAATGCAGAAAAAATATCTTATGGATGTCACTGTTGATTCTGATTCCAGTCTTAAATCAGTTTGAAGACAATAGTTTAAAACTCCCCAGGGCTCTGTAGGCCTTCTTTCATCTGTATTATTTGTGGACTACTATGGTAAGTTAGATGGTGGGAACTTTCCGATAAAATAAAGGTAGAAAAGGTGATGCATAACTAAGTATTTTAGTTTATTTTGGTACATTCTAGCACACTTCAAAGCAGAGTTACAGTTCTTCACAATGGAGTTCACTTTTTAAATTAATGTCTGTAAAAGTAAGAATGAATCTGAAATGAAGTACTGATGAGGGCTGTTTTATTATGGAAAACTACAAACCATTTACAGAAAAAATCATTGTGTATGAAATATATTTGTACAGTGATATCCTTTCTACCAGATTATATGGGCTCCCTCTGGTGGCTCTCTCTGGAGTCATAACATACAGGGAGATAYGGAATGTAAGTTTTTCTAGTACAAATAGTACAAATAGATTTTCTTTCAAACAGAATGCTTAGACAGATTTTTTTAATTCACTCAGGAACTTCTTTATCATTGCCTTTTTTGCACTGCTACCTCAAWAACTTATCTAGTTAGCTTTATAAACTACTTCTTACTGAAAAATAAGTCTCTTAGTGTAAAATACKGAAAAATGTAAAGCTGGCAGGACCAGTAAGGCTTCGGATCAGAATTAAATGTGTTCCCTAAACTGCCTCTAAYATCGAGCGGAGCCAGGATGAAGTCAAGGAATGGGGCCATATGTGATCCTCATGAGATTTAGCAACACCAAGTATAAGGTGCTCTGCCTGGGTCRGGGCAGCCCCCAGTCCCAACACGGGCTGGGGATGGACAGATCAGAGCAGCCCTGCCAAGGATGTGGGGAGGCTGGTGGRTGAGAGGCTGGACATGACCCAGCCATGAGCACTCCCAGCCCAGAGAGACAAACGTGTCTGGGCTGCATCCAGAGCAGCGTGGGCAGCAGGGCCAGGGAGGGGATTGTGCCCCTCTGCTCTGCTCTGCTCAGACCCCACCTGCAGGGCTGCATCCAGCTCTGGRGTCCCAGCATGGGAAGGACATGGAACTGTTGCAGTGTGTCCAGAGGAGGGACACCAAGTTTATCAGAACACCTCTTCTATGAGGATGCTCTGAGAGAGTTGTGGTTGAACAGCCTGGAGAAGAGAATGGTCCAAAGAGGACCTGATTGTGGCCTTCCAGTACTTAAAATGACCTTATAGGAAAGGTGGGGACAAGAAAATAGGGAGGGCCTGTRGCAATATGGCAAGGAATAATATTTTTTAACTAAAAGAGAGTAGATTCAGACTAGATGTAAGTAAGGCCTTTCTTATTATAAGGGTGGTGAAACACTGGAACATGTAGCCCAGAGAGGTGGTCATTTTCCTATCCATGACCATTCATAGCTGGCTTTGAYGGGACTCTGAGCAACCTGATGTTGTCAAAGAGATCTCTGCTCATTGCAGTGGGGGTTGGGCTAGACTTTTAAAGGTCCATCCGACCCAAAACATGCTAGGATTCTATGATATGTTCCTGGTGTTAAGTTTAGTAGCAGATTTGATATCATCAGTTGTAACATGCTTTAGTTGCTCACATGGTCCTGCTATGTTCATCAAACCTCTCCCACTTCTGATTGTTCAGTTTCATTTTCTGTCTGTTACAGGCTGTTGCTTCATATTCCTTAGAAAATTAGTTTATTGTTTGGCAGAAAATACCTGCTTTCCTTCCAAAGCTTATTTAAGTCAATAATGKAGATGATACTAGAGTATTCTTACTCCAGATTAATGAGTTAGGACTGCTATAATGTCAGGATCACTACTTTTCACTAGCTAGCACATACCAGAAAAAAAAAGAAAAACCAGGCATCCTTCTCAGTGTGCTGATGATCCTTTTCTATTTCGAGGGAACACATTTGGGAGCTCTGCCCATTAGCAGAGACCATGAAGCATTAAAACTTCAAGTTAGTAAACATCTAGCCSCCAAATTTTACCCAGCCTTTGATTCAACTGCTTTCTTATTCAGTGAACTCAACTGAATTGTTGATTATTTGATTAGAATAATGTTTCATGTCGCTGTCTGTTGGCGATGATAAGGCGCTAGTGCAAAGTTTGGTGTGAATTTATCACATTCTTTTAGGCCTTTTTTAATAGCTTATTGTGAGCACTTTAGTCCTAAATGTCCATATGTGCTTTTTCCAAAGCAAATGCGAGAGAGTCAAAGTGAGCTGTACACAGCTGAAAGGTAGTGCTGATAGTGTTAATGCACACTTGTGCTTGCTCCATGATAATATTTCTGTTTAGTTAGTGTGTTGTGTTAAACTGCATGTTTGCTGTCTAATGAAGAAATGTACCACATGAACAAGATAAAGCAGTGGGGGAAAAAAGAGRGTTAAGAATAAATTTATTAATCCTGAAAATTAGAAACAAGTTAATCCTTTCCCAGTGTTTGGGAGGCAAAACAAAGGCCRCAGAATATTGAAGCTTGCTTTGATTAAAGCTGCTAGAATTTTATGTGGTTAAATAATGAACTTTCCTTTGAAAGAAAGACTTTAAACAGTGCTGGGTGTGGTGTTTATTTTTTCCATGGGTTCGTTTGATAACRTAGTAGTTTACAGCACGTATAAAAATACTTCTCTAGGACACTAAGCAAGTAACAAAGTAGATGGAAACAAACACTGAAAATGGTTAATACTGACTTTTGTATGGCTCTGCAGGACATCTTTGAGCCTCTTTGTCACAGGGAAGTGTAACAAAGCAAGTATTTATTTTATGTTCTTGTAGATTATTTTCTTTGTATTTTCTTTAAATACTGTGAATACTTAAGTACTGCTGATGTTTGTGCTAAAATGTACAAATAGCCTGGAATGTCACAATTTTTCAAAAACTGCCCACATATAATTCTGCCCAGAAGGCTGACAGAGCAATGAGTTTAGTTTATCATCACTGACAGTATCCAAGGAATTCAGAAAAGTATTCTTT